GGTGTGTCCGGCTCACGCGCCGCTCTAGCCACTGACTTCAGTGGTCGCCGGCGCAAGATGGCGGAGGAGGGTTCCGTTTGCACCTTCGTTTTCAAGAAGCGGGGCCTGGCGGCGGGCAGGGGTCGGCGCAAGCGGCCCAGCAGCGACCAGGAGCAGGGTGAGGGCCGGCGGAGGGCCTCGGGAGGGCGCCGGGAGCCGGGCCGTTAGGATATCCTGCGGGAGGCGAGGGAGGGCCTGGTGCCACCCCGCAGCGCTGCCCCCACACCGGCGGGGCCTGGCAGCCCTCCCCGGCTGTACCGGTGTCTGTGTGGCGGAGGGCGTGAAGGGCTCTTCCCCGGTCGTGCCACCGCCCTCGGGGGTTCTGCCGGTGGCCTCCCGCACCTTCCCGTGGGCGTCCCCAGCCCGCAGAGGGGGGAGGCTGCCGGCGGAGCCTGCACTTGGGCCGAGGTCCTGCCCCCGGGCTCAGCCTTAACCCCGGGCTTTACCCCCCAGAGAGCAGCGGTGAGGAGGGCAGCACGGTGGTGCGCAAGGAGCGGCGGCGGGAGGCCCCCAACCCCATGATCCAGAAGGTAAGGGGGCCACAGCAGGGCACTGCTCCACCCGAGGTGCATCTGCAGCAGCCTGCCAAGCTCAAGCTGGACACAGCTTTGGAGCCTTCTGTCCTTCACACCTCCTGTCTTCCTGCCCCTCAGACCAGGAGATGCGCCAAGGAGAGGCCTGCGTACGCGGTGAGCAGCAGTGACGATGAGGATCCATCCAAGGAGATTGGAGTCACTTACAAATCAACAAGGTCGGCGGTAAGGACTGGGCAGGAATGTGGTTCTGGGGTATGGGATGAGGTGGATCCCACACTTTGATAGAGAGAATTTATCTCTGTGAATGTGGGGTCAGCCATTCCTTCTTTTTAATCTAAAGATACACCTCCCTGTACCTTCCCTCATAATAGACAAACACCTTGCACTAGGTTTATTCTCCTCATACCCTCTGCATCCTCAGGAGGCCATCTAAGGTTGGCCTTGCCCTCCTAGAGGTGGGAATTAAAACCCCAAGATGCCACTGGATTTGCTCAACATCGCAGTAAACTTTCAGGAGAGGGAGCACTTGAATCAGGTTTGCCCTCCTGTTGGGTTTGTGGTTTCGGTTTTAGATCATTTTCCTCCTCAAAGAATTCAAGGTGACTTAGGTGCTGTAGGAGAATGAAGCAGGTGACAGCTTTGTGGCTCCAGAAGCTTGTGGCACCTAAGGTGGATTTGGTTTTAATTGAGGCTGGCTGTAATTACTCTCTTTTTTTCTGTGCAGCTGTTCCTCAAGATCTGATAAAATCAGGAATAGGTGCCTGTTCAGTCCATTAAAGGGGAATCTAAGCCAGATCACTGTATTAACACTAAATTTAAGCCACCCACTGGGTTAAAATTTCAGACGTAACATCCTGTGTGTAGGTGGGATGGTCTCATGATTGAAGTGTTGGACATGGGAGACCCGAGTTCAGTTTCCAGCTAAGCCGAGGCTGAGTGTGAAGGAGTAAAGTAAGGACAAGTGTTTCCTGTAAGCACTAGGCTGGATGAAGCCCATGGTGATTCTCAGGGATGTTCATGGGATGCTCAGGGATGGTAGAAACTGGTGGAAGGTAAAGCAGAGAATCATAGAATGGTGAGAGTTGGAAGGGACCTTAAAGATCGAGTTCCAACCCCCCTGCCCTGGGCAGGGACACCTCCCACCAGAGCAGGTTGCTCAAGGCCCCATCCAGCCACCCCATTCCCAGTCCTCGCTCTGTGACCAGCCCTCCAGGTAGCCAAGGAGCTCTCTGCCTTGTAAGAATTTTCTCTTTGCTGTTGTCACAAGTTCTTCTTGCTTTTCAGAAACCTGTTGGCCCAGAAGACATGGGAGCCACAGCAGTGTATGAGCTGGACACGGAGAAGGAGAAAGATGCTCAGGCCATCTTCGAACGCAGCCAGAAGATCCAGGAGGTGAGTCAGCCCTGCTCTGGAAGTTAGTGCTCTGCAAGAGGACAACATGTGCTTTACTCATCCCCTTCAGCACATCAAGAAGAGTTTGAGTCTCTCCCTCCCTGGAAATTGGAGAAGCCAAGAGTATAATTCTTGTAACAAAATAGGGGAACTTTTGGCTTTCTTGGAATCTCGGTGTTAAGGAAGGCAGGGGTGGGAAGGGAGACTGGTGTCAGAGAGGTGAAAGCTGATCTGTCTCATGAAGCTTTTCTGATTCTTAATGACCTTTCTTTTTGCTTTCCTAGGAGCTGAGAGGAAAGGAAGATGATAAAATTTACCGTGGTATTAACAACTACCAGAAGTACGTGAAACCCAAGGACACGTCGATGGGAAACGCCTCTTCAGGGATGGTCAGGTAGGTCAGGATGAGCTTTGGAGGACTGGGACCACAGAGGAGCTCAGGCACCATCCCCAAAGGGACTTCTTTGGGGCTTAGCTTTGCTGCTGCTGCCAGATGTTTTCTGTCTAATGAATCCAGTGTCTGGTTCTGACCAGGCCCCCAGGGGCCTTCTCCGCTGCAGCTGCAGAGCCAGCCTGAGCCTTCTCCCCCCCTTTCAGAAAAGGACCCATCCGTGCTCCGGAGCACTTGCGGGCCACGGTGCGGTGGGACTACCAGCCTGACATCTGCAAGGACTACAAAGAAACTGGGTTCTGCGGCTTTGGAGGTGAGTGGATCTCACCTGCAGCTGAACACCTGCTGCAAAGGGATCCAGTCCAGCTTGTGACCCCGTGTTTGTAGCACTAAGATGGGCATTTACTGATTTGCAGGCACTTGTTTGCAGAGCTGGGGGGTGATGCTGTTGCAGAGTTGGTTTATGTAACGTTCTTGTCATTTGTGGTGGCCCTTCCGAAAGCTGATGGCCTCTGATCAGTGGTTATGAGTGTCCTGGGAGGGACCTCTGGGATTTGCAGTCACCCACGTTCCCACAGGTGTTCTGGCCACTGAGGCCACACGAGGGATGGGATTTCCTCTTCCTTATCCCACTTCCCCTCTGTGTAAATGCTAGAACTGACGCTGTAGCACACAGAGCATGATCCTGTTGACCCTAAGAGGTGTCCTGTGCCTGTTCCAGGAGCTTGGCACCGCGCTGGAGCGCTGGCGGGCAGGGAAGCAACCAGGTTTCACCTTCTGCTGAGCAAAGCTCAGGCTGCCCCTGAGCGAGGTGTCTGGTTAACAGCTGGGCTGTGTGGGGTAGAGGGTTAATTCTTCTCTCTTTGTGCTGCTCAGACAGTTGCAAATTTCTCCACGACCGCTCGGACTACAAACACGGGTGGCAGATCGAACGGGAGCTGGATGAAGGCCGGTACGGAGTGAACGGTACGGCACCACCCCTCTGCTCTCCCTCCCCGGAGCTAAGGGGGGATGGGGCTCCCAGGGCCTGCCTCTGACCATGCCCTAAAGTGAAGGTGACGTGGGGTTACTGGGTCATGAAGGAGGAAATGGATCCTTTGCTGTCTCAAACTGCACAGACCATGGATCAAATTAATATTAGAGAGAAAGGACTCCATTCTAAAGCTGTGGAACTCCCTGCTGCAGGGTAACATTAGGGCCAGTGACAGCGCTGAGCAAATCTGCTGCTTTCAGATAACCACTGACTGCCACCAGAGAGGATTATTTCCTCTGGTGCTCTAGAAAAGGATAGCACTGCTCCCAGCAGTGAGCTGTGTGGGGCTGGGGAGAGGTGACCATCTCCTGTCCCCCCCCCCAAGATGCTTTCATGCCATGTCCCATCGTTATTTCTCACTCTCAGTGTCCCAAGGCTCATGGGTGTTGCTCACAAACTCATGCCATGTCCCATCGTTATTTCTCACTCTGTGTCCCAAGGCTCATGAGTGTTGCTCACGAACCGCTGTGCAGCCATGGGGAGAAGGGGGTTCTCTGCTCAGTTGGAACCAAAGAGTTTGCTGGCAGGTGGTTTGGAAGAAAATCTGAAAAATAAGAGGGGGCTGGAGGAGATGTCTCTTTATAGCAGGCAGTGGGCGAGGTAGGAAAGAATTTGTTCTTGTGAGATGAGCAACAAGCACGCTGGCTCATTAGACCTAATTATATCTCAGTCCCACATGTGCTACTGACATCAGTAACACCCAGGTGCCAGAGCTCTATTGTTTCCAGCAGAGATTCAATCCCACCTGCTGTACTCTCTCCACAGTTAATATTTCAGGCCCCACGCATGGGCTGCTCTGGCTGCTCTGCTCCTGCTCCAGTCTGGTTCACTTTCTCTTGTGCAGATGAGGAAAACTACGAGGTGAGCAGCGACGAGGAGGATATGCCTTTCAAATGCTTCATCTGCAGAAGTTCCTTCAAGAACCCCGTGGTCACCAAGTAAGTGGTTGTTTTGGCTTGGGGAGCCAAGTGTCTGCTGTCAGTCGAGTCCAGTAGTCCTTCTGTTTGAAGCCAAATACAAACACTGCCCACAGGCTGGTGGGCAGAACCTGCTTGTTGTCTGCCCTGGCTTTCTGGTGGGTGAGGAAATCCTCTGGTAACCAGGGAATCTCATAATTGCATCTGGAGCATCTCCTTGGAAGGGATCTCAAGTCTTTGTTGTCCAGGCATCTTTTAGATTTCCACAGATGGTGCCTGGTTACATCATCTTTCCCCTTAACCTTGGGTTTCATGCCTTCATTTTTCCTGGAGGCTGAATGACACGCTGTGCGGCGTGAGCAGAGAAACAAGCGTGGGGAAGCCAAGGGCTAAAGGAGGATGAGGAGCAGGCTGGGGGCAGCCAGCGTGCCCTGCCAGCCCCCTCCCACACTGCTGGCTGTGGCACTGGGTCCCTGCTGTCTGGAAGAGCTCACTGGTGGCTCTGTGCCAGCACTCACATCAGCATGGCTTCACCAAAACACCTTTCATGGCGACAACGATGCAGAGAAAGAGAAAGCTGTGTTTGCAGCTCAATTTTGCATCCCCCAGGGACCAGTAGTCCATAATTTGTAACTCTGGGACACGGTGATTGTATCTGGTGACACACGGTGGCATCTGTGTCTCCGTACAGGTGTAGGCACTACTTCTGTGAGAGCTGTGCCCTCCAACACTATCGCAAATCCCAGCGCTGCTACGTCTGTGACAAGCAAACCAACGGCGTCTTCAACCCAGCTAAAGGTAACGGGCCTCTGTGGGAGCAAGGGCTTTTGGTGGGAGCATCTGGAGCAGCAAAGGCACCAGCTCCTGAGGTGTCTTCTTGGTGTTTGGCTGGAGGTCACAGCTCTTGGCTGCCAGCAGAGCCTCCTTTAGTGCCAGCAGACACTAAATCATGGCCTGGGTGGCTCTGTAGGTGCTTGCCCAGATGGGGAACTGGAGGAGTGTGACTCCTGGAGCGGAGGTAGCAGCTGGTCTGATGGTCAGTAATGCCCTGATGGATTCTCTGACTGTAACATCTGGTGCCCTGGGCTCAGTGAATGGTGGTAGCTCCCAGCTGAGCCTTCGTGTGGGCCAGGGCAGCTGCCCTGCTTCTTGCAGAGATGGGCATTTCCAGGAGCTGGGCACCAGGCTTTGGCTTCCAGCCCCTGCACCCAGAGTCTCATCCTCCCTATCCCTGTTTTTCAGAGCTAATGGCAAAATTGGAAAAACACAAAGGGGAGGAAGAAGAGGAGGAAGAGCAGCATTCAGACCACGGAGAGGATCCCCAATAGCAGAGCACCCTAAAGGGGAGGAAGAAGAGGAGGAAGAGCAGCAGCATTCAGACCATGGAGAGGATCCCCAATAGCAGAGCACCCTGTTTTGTATGTAGCTGAATAAAGTTTTCATAGGAGATAAAAACGCTCATGGCAGTTGCCTTGGGGCCAGCAGCTGTTCCCAGCTTGTGTATCCAACCAGCAGCTACTAAACCAGTGTCCTGACTGGACCAGACTCCCTCTTTGCTGCTCTAAAGGTGTAAGAACAGGTAAGGTCAGACTCGAGTTGTGGCTGAGTATGGCTGGCTACCACCAGGACCCCTGCAGTTGCCCCCCTGAGTGCAGCAGTGCACTGGGGAAGGTGTTGAAGGCTGTGCCTTTAACTTTGTAACTTCTTTTTTTGACAAAGGTTGCTGTTTCACTCCTAACTTCGCACTGATCTTGCTTCAGGCTGCTGTGTAAGCATAAAACTACTTCCAAGTTAATTTAAGTCCATAATCTTTGAGCACATAACAAGCTGAAAGCGTGGAAGGGGATGAGAAATATTAGCTTGCGTTAAGTTCATCCTTCACCCTAAAAATGCAAACTCAGGGGAAAGCAGGTTCCAGGGCTGCAGTTACTTGTGATTTATTACAGCTCAGTGTTTTCCCTCCTGTCCTTTCTGCCTGCTTCTGGATTCCTAGGAGAATTCAAGAGAGACTTAAAATGTCAGTGGGCAACGTTGTTGAACCTCTCCTGTAAGGAAACCTCCAAACCATCACCAACTCAGCCCCAAAGGTTTTATGCTGAATGGTTTCGTGCTTTTTCTTGCTGTAAGTACCAGTGACCCAGTCCAGCTTCAGGCTTGTGGGAGAGGGATAAGGATTTTTGCATGCTGCAGACTTCATAACAAGCTAGGAAATTAAGATCTAGTTACTACAATAACATGAAATCTGGGGTCAAAGCTGATCCTAGAGAGGAAGAGGGCTTGTCCTTTCTGTTGTACAAACACCTTGCTCTGGCAGAATGAGCACATTCTACTGAAGCTTTCACTAAAGTGCCAGAGCAGTTTGCAGCTTTTTGCTTCAGTTTATAGAAACATGATTTTGAAACATGAAGGCAGTTGCAATTAACAGTGCTGCAACTGTGTTCATCAGGGTATGTTCTACCACCATCCAGCCAGGGTGCAAGCTTCCTCTGAAGTAAGGAAAGGAGAAGAGAGCGAGCACGCACAGCCAGCCTGTGGCATTTGTGATCCACTCCATCACCTTGCAGCAACAGCAGACTTAAAAAAAACAACTTCAGAAATATTTTATTTGTTTTGGCAAAAAACTAGAGTAACAAACTTTATCTGGGTTCAAGTACAGTTTATAAACACAAGAAAGGACCTGTTGCCAGCACCACTACTCCCATCGACCACACCTCCAGGACGGGATTCTCAGTGCTTCGGTAAAGAGTAGACTTCATCCAGCACCTGTGGTCCTTGAAAGGGGCAAACTAAAAGCCTTAAATACACTTCCAAAATAAAAACAAACACCGTGGGACAGGGGAGAGCTGCCACAGCAGCAGGACAGAGTCACAGAGCCGTGAATCGAGGGGAGCCACGGGAGAAACAGAGCTTTTACCTGTCAGTCAGTCAGGGGAGGCAGAACAGCAACGGCAATGGAAGGCTTAAGATCAATTCTGTACATGATGTTCAAAAGGAGTCGTGAGCAAGAGGATTTAGTATGAAAATCAACTTCTTTTTCCTCTGTGCCAGGGTAACTCGCTGAGAACAAGCTGGTGTGAGTGTTATGTGCTGTGAAACCAGCCCAGCTAACGGGAGGCTCAAGAAGATGTGCTGTGGGGATAAAAAAAGCTGGTGCATTGCACAAGGTGTTCACACTCGCTTTGGTGAGCCAGGCAGCCCCGGGAGGAGAGGCTGGAATGCCCTGTCTGACCTGGAGCTCAGAGGGCTCAGCATCAAGTGAGAGGAGTCTCTCCCAAAGTTCTCTCCAGAACTGGAAGAATCCAGTGCTGCAGAGGAATGCCCGATGCGGCAGACGTGCCTGGAACAGAATCTTGTCATCTTTGATCTCCCGTTTGCCATCACAAAGCAGTGACTAAGAACATAATCCCTTTTTTCCCCACCCTCCAAACTTAGCCTGTAACAGTAATGGGACTAGCTCTAAGAGAATGCCCAAAACTAAAAGCTTCCTGCCTCCCCTTAACTCTAAGGCACCCTTAAAAAGAGAAAGAACCAAAGAGGGTAGGGACATGCAGCCTTCAACTGTGATACAAGAAAGCCAGTGATTTTTAGAAACACATAAATAGAGACTAAACAGACTCACTCAACCCATTCAAGTGATCTACTGGTGCTCAGCTGCCAGAACTGGGGCTCTGGGCACTGCACCACCTGGAATACTTCACAGTTCCTTGGGGTTGATCCTTTCCCAGCTCAGGTCTGTCCCATTTGTTTCCAGGCTACTTCCTAAGTAAAGAGGCAGTTGAAGTTCCTTCCCAAGAACCTGTAAACTCTTCTATGTGTAACATTCATCACCTTTTATGAACAGGACCAATAAATTACAATGTCCAGAAAGCTCCTCCACAACCAGGCGTCGTCCCTGTTTTTTCTAGAATTCCCAATCATCCACATCCAGCTGCTCCAGGTTTGACACCAGCCCAAAAATGCCACTGGGATCCTGGGGCCGCGTTCCTTCAAAATTGGTGATTGGGGTGACGGGGCGCAGGAGTTCAGGGAGCGCTTCAGAAGCGCGACGCTTGATCTGCACAGAAAGGAGAAAACTTGGCTGTGGAAATGCTTCCCCACAGCTGCTCACAGGCAAGCAGCAACAACATGTGGTTATAGGGAGAAAATAAGAATAGTTTTCTCCTCCCATGTGCACCAAGAGATGTGCAGGGCTTTCACACCACATCTTGTAGCAAGAAAATGCTTTGCGTGCTCTTTCCAGCAGCTTTTGGGTACCGTGGTGGCCCTGGTACTGCTCTCAGGGAAGCACCACCCCAACCCTTGGCTCAGAGCAAGCCAGACAGAATCACAGAATCTTCTAGGTTGGAAGGGACCTTAAAGATCATCTTGTCCAACCGTCAACCTGACTGACAAAAATAGACACCCACACAACAAACAAGGAGCATCACCATCACTAAACCAGACCTCCCAGCACTACATCAACCCGTCTTTTGAACACCTCCAGGGATGGTGCCTCAACCACCTCCCTGGGCAGCCCATTCCAATGGCTGAGAACCCTTTCAGTGAAAAAATTTTTCCTAATATCCAGCCTGAACCTCCCCTGGCATAACTTGAGGCCATAAATCATCCCAGGGGCAGGAGAGCCTCTGCCTCTTCCCATGCCAGGGCTGGAGCTCCCAACCTGCCACACAGGTCACCTCCTTTTGGTCTCAGTAAGGACTGCCTTGCCCCAGCACTCTGTGGGTGAAAAACCTCTGGCACACAGGACAGGCAGATTTACATCCTCTGAGAACAGCCATCCCACCTCCCAGGAGGATGTGAGGATTCACAAGCTGCACTTACAATTAGACCCCAAACTAAATCCATACTTTCAGAGCACGGAAAATCCAGCAACTCAACATTCCCACCCTCAGGTTCAATGACACAGCAAGACAACTACGACAGAAAAGCCACTCTTCTTTATCTGCAGATTAAATGAGTTCCTTACCTGCTTGAAAAAGGGATGATTGAGCAGCGCACCTGCACTTGGCCTGTAAAAGGGAGTTAGAGTGAAGTAAGCACAAAAGAAATTGCATCAGTGTTTAAAGTCAGTTAGTGGCAGTGGAAGAAAGAAAAGACTGGGGTCCTTCCTGCCTCTCTCATGGCTCAGCTATAGGATATGTCCCTTTTGTAACCAGCAGCACTGTTTAGGATATTCACATGATGTTTTATACAAGCAGTTTATGCAGCAGAGTCTCATAGGGATCAAAAAATCAAGTTGTTCAGTTTATTTTCCTGACAGGTAGCACCACTCTACCCCCCAAAGAAGAAATTCTTCATGCTCTCTTATAGAAAGTGTCTCAAAGTGTTAATACTGCTCGTTTTACACGCTTGGATTGCTCTCCTCAATGCATACAGCACATCCTCACTCCACTACACTTTTGGGAAGAAAACTTTCAACAACCTCTCCTGGCTCTCAGGGTTTAATCAGCCCTAGAAAAGAGCAGCTTTCAGCTGGTTTTACCTGAAGTCGGGGTTCCGCTGGAGGCACTGCTCTACAAAGTTATGGAAGTAGGTGGAGAAGGTCCGGAGATACGGGTGCAGGGCTGGCTCTCCGTTGGCTGCTCTCACGTTGCTAATAGCCATGCTCTCACCCATCCCATAATTAGCACTTGAACGGGAGGTTTTCATGGTCAGCTCATCAGCAGGAATTGTGGTGGTGTCTAAGAGGCAGGGAACAGTTCCATTCAGCTTTTCCAAGAGCATCTGGAAGAGAAGGGGCATAAGCAACGTCACACACACACAAAGACCGGACTATTAATATTTCGAAGTGGATTTCTAATGTCCTCAAAATTTGGACATGACCATTCTGACACTGATGATTCAATACAAAAGCCCTGCAGTTCAATGGAAAAAGCTCCAATGAGAAGGGAATTCAGGCAGGCACAGCACCCTTCTGTCTTCACATCCCAGTGCAGCGAGGCAGTTCCCTGTGCCAGGGGGAAGGATGAGAAAGGAACAGCTTTAACCCTCACCTGAGTAGAAGGCATGTCTTTGAACGGTACGTGTCCGTTTGCCAGCTCACAGGCTGTTATTCCTACGCTGTAAATGTCAGATTTTGCATCATAACCCTGGAGATTCTAGATGAAAAGGAGAAGAAAAATTACCCTACAAGAAAACTATTTATTGAAACAGAGATCAGATCAAATTCCAGCCTCTCGCCCTGCACCTGCCCCAAATCTGTTTCCTCCAGCCTCTCCCCTCCATTTTCCTTGCATTTGCTTGCACCCTCCTCTGGAGAGGAGACAATGTTGTAACATGGGCTTCTCAGCAATTACCCCTTTTGACAGGAACACAGGTTTCCCCTTGCTAGGGATCACTGTTTTTAAGGTAAAAAGGATAAAGCTCATCATAAGAAAAAGTAACCTTGTGACTTTTATCGTGTACCCACCACCACACCCCCAAACATGCCAAAAGAACTCAGAAAATTATACAGAGATACCATATATCACTAAAAACTAGCAAATTTTGGGCTTCTCAGCAATTACCCCTTTTGACAGGAACACAGGTTTCCCCTTGCTAGGGATCACTGTTTTTAAGGTAAAAAGGATAAAGCTCATCATAAGAAAAAGTAACCTTGTGACTTTTATCGTGTACCCACCACCACACCCCCAAACATGCCAAAAGAACTCAGAAAATTATACAGAGATACCATATATCACTAAAAACTAGCAAATTTTTTAACACACCTGCTGCAAGACTTCAGGGCTGAGCCAAGGCAGGACTTTGATGCTGTATTTGGGAAAGTCATGAACAACTTTGAGTCGCTGCCCGTGGTTGATCATACTCAGGTTACTGCGCAGGCCAGAGAGGTACACCTTCCCGTCCACTGAGATCAGGATATGGCTGGCTTTAACACTCCTGAAAATAAGTAAAAACAGTCAGGTTCTCTGCCCTCAAAGGAGTGAACGTTCCTCACAGCTTTCCCAAGCAGACTTGGTGCAGAAGGGCACTGCAAAGGATTTAAGGCAGGCATAGATAAGCTAAACTTCTCTTACAGTGCATACAATAAAAGTAGGAACCACCAATAACCTAAAACTTTCAGCATCTGAAATTTACTCTTGGCAACACAAGGATGTATCAGAGAAGAAGAAAAAAATGCTAAGGGATGGAGGCAGTGATGTAAAACTTTCAGCATCTGAAATTTACTCTTGCCAACACAAGGATGTATCAGAGAAGAGGGAGAAAAATGCTAAGGGATGGAGGCAGTGATTTAGAAAGAGAATAAGAGAAGTTGTAGTACTAAACAGAAATTAATCCTTAGTAAGCACCTATAGGAAGATAAAAGCCTTCTGTACTGGACAGCTCAATGTGCAGGACAATACTTGATCAGCCTCCCACCAGGAGGCCAAGACTCCTATCGACCATCCTGAATGCTGTGCAAAACCAGCTTCTACAAACATTAAAAGGACTCTTTTTCACTTTGTAGGTTTCCAAAGACCATTTCAGTGGCAAAGAAGAGTGTGGGACTGAAGGTACAGACCCAGGAAGAGGGCCCCTCCCACTGTCAGTCTCAATTTGGAGACTGTTGATGGTATCTGAGCAGAGCCTTAACAAGTCACCCCGTCAC